CTCTCTGAGTAGGTGACGTTTGAACTGAGACCTGAGGGATGGGATGGAGCCAGCATGTAAAGACATGGCAAGGGCAAAGGCTGGCAGGTGGGAATGGACTGAGCCTGTTGGGAACCAACGGCAGGCTGTGTGGCCAGAGCAGGATGAACTGAGGAAGCACTGTGCAAAATGAGGCTGGAGAAGGAGCAAGAACCAGATCCAGGACACCTTGCCCTTCATGGTAAGGAGGTCAGGTTTTTTTCTACATGCAAAGAGAAGCCATTTGAGGGTTTCAAGCAGAGAAGTGACGTGAGCTGATTTATGTGTTAAAGATGAACTAAGGGAAGAAGAGAGAGGAAGCCTGCTTTTCCTGTGGGTAAAGTGAGCTAGGAGGGAAGTCTGTCTTCTGCCCATTCATCTTTAAACTGTGGTTGATATCTGCTCGAGATTTGCTAGATGACGTTGCTTGCAACTAGATCTTTCTCCTACTCAAGTGTCCAAAACGAGCATGAGCCAAAGCTCAGGGGCAGGATGTGGTTTCGGTATACAGTGACCACCATCCCTTCCTCCGGTAGCCCAGAACCACCCGTTACTGCACACACAACCAGTCACTGCAAATCATGCTACATACCCTGACAACCCACGTGGTGATGACACCACGGAATTCAGGAGCCCAGAACCCTCCTCCTCCTCCCCCTTCGCCCTCCTGCCTCTCCTTAAACACAGCCACAAATAACTGGCACCTTGGCTAAAATGTGCCCAGCAGAAAACAAACAGCCACTTCCAAACAAGACATTTTCCTCTGCTCCCCTTTTCTCCTGTGGCTAGGGGCAAAGAATCCAACTGGTTAAGCCATCTTGGTAAATAAATTGCTAGATACAATTCTACTCTCCTAGGCACACAGCTCTCTTGACACAGAAACAGAATTAATAAATTCTGTCCTCTTGACCACAGAGTTCACACAACACTGCCTCCTGCTTGGTTCTGGGCCTATAGCATTCTGCTGATATGATAAATAGACCTAAATGGTTTACCCAAGGCAAATGCCTCATCCTAAACATGTTATTAATACTTTCTGGGTGTTATTTCACCCTTAATGTTAAAAGCTGTCACGTCACAGGTAATATTGATATAAAATGTCCAGACTCTGTTTCCCAGAACATAACAGAACATGGTATTATTACTATTTTTAGAGTAAAATTTGACTCTAGATGCAAATTTGATTGGCCTTGAGAGACTGAAGTGTTGAATACATGTTTTCTGTTAGACATGTCGGATTCATGTTCTGAATGCACCACTTAACTACTGCTGGTATGTCTTAGGTGAGTTACTTAACTTCTCTGAGCTGTGGTAGCCTCTTTTGTCAAATGGAGAACCCACCCCACAGGGTTGCCCTTGAAGATTAAAAGAGAGATCACACATCTAATGTGCTTAGCACAGTTTGTCATGTAATAAATACTCATTATTATTAGCAAAATAAAATTTCATGGTTGATGCACCTATGTAAGTTATAAAATGTATCAACATTAGTTTTTATCAACTAATAAAGGGAGCTATTAAATGTAGCACAAGCATAATAAAAATGACAGAAAGGAATATTAAAATTTGAAAGCATTTAAACATTTGGTTGACAATACATAAAATTGAAATACAGGGGTTCTAAAAATCTTTAACCCAGCAGTAATTTTACCTAGTAATATTCTGTGTATTGTGATAAAAACTAATAATAATAATTTATTGAGTATATTCATGGTATCAGGCACCATTATGAGTGCTTTATGAACATATGTAATCTTCACAGCAATTCTGAAATAGGTACTATTATTATGTATGTTTTGCAGATGGAGAAACTGAGGCAGGCAGTTTGGCTCGATAGCCCTCACTCTTGAACTCTATGAAATATAGCAGAAGTTGGCAAACTGTGACTCAGGGGCAAATGTTTTTTAAATAAAGTTTTATTAGAACACAGCCACACCCATTCATTTATATATTGTATAGGGTTGCTTTTATACTACAACTGATGAACTGAGTTGTTGCAACAGGGACCGTATGGCCCAGGTAGATTATAATAGTTACTGTCTGGCCTTTTACAGGAAAAACTTTGTTAACTCTGTTATCAACTTTAAACTTCTCTAAAAGATTGGGGTTTAGAAGGGGAAGAAATAATACCTTATAATAATACTGCCTTACATCTGGTTTACAATGGGTTTTTATATATTCATCTCATTTAATTATCACAACAACCCTGTGATTTAAGTAGTCCTTTTATTTCCACTTTAGAAATGAAGAAACTGGGGTTCTGAGAGGTTAAATGACATGCATCACAGATTAGACAGGAAACTCCATGAGTCTAAGGATCGTGTGTCTGTATCCGCATGTCCACATCACCTACCACAGTGCTAGGACAGAGTGGCCGCTCAAAAAACACTTGCTAAATGAATGACAGTCGTAAAGGTCACCCAGCTAGAGAATCTAGGTCTCCTTCTGACCCCACAGCTGCCCTGGAGGTGAAAAGGACTTTCTCTCGAGATAGGGTTAAACATGCAGTAGTTAACATGTCACTCTGCTGTGGATGGACAAGTGTTGGCTGCTGTGGTCCTCCTTCTCCTTAGAGATCATCCCAATCAGACCAAAGGGTTTTTTCCTTTTCTCTCAAATGCACAGTCATAGCTTTGAGAGTGTGCTTGTCCTTGTGGTTGGTGCATTTTTAGACAAGATTAAAAGTGACACCCTCATGAGATGGTAGTCACATGGAATCTGGATTTTGGATGGATTTCAGACCCAGCTCTGCCTGCCCTCCTCCCACCCCCTTGACCCACCTCCCACCCCCTGATGAGTCACAGTGCACAGCCGACTGCCCTTCCAAGAACCACTCAAGGCTTTGTTTTCTTTCATCATGCTTCATGCTGGTCATGTGAGGCTCAGGGTATTAATAGACCATCGGCTTGGCCTTCTGAATCTTCTTGTTGGTCAGGGAGATAAATGAAAGGTTTGGCCACTCCCTCTGTGCCATTCTTCACTCCTCTTTTGACTGTCACGTGCTGGTTGGTGACAGAGCTGAGCCAAACAGGCAGAGGGCATCCAGTGTGGCCACTACCCATGGATGTGGCCTCTACTGATGCTTTGAATTCTCGCCTCTCTTAGTGGCCACTTGGTCAGCTCCTGACTTCCGACCTCGGATCACCAGTACTAATCTTAACAAACCAGCCGCAGCCTTTCCTCGCCGCCTTCTCCCAGGCAGATGACGGCATCCGTGCCTGCATGTGTGAGAGATACATACGCCAGGCAGGGAAAGGTTTGGGGGTGGTTCGTTTTTTGGTGTGTGTTTTTTTTTTTTTTAACTTAAAGTTGTGCTCAGGAAATTAAAAGTCTGTACGTGGTTTGACAGGCTCCCAAGGGGCTCTATGGGGACAGAATTTTTAAACAAATGCTTTGGAAGCCGAGGTTCTTTGAATTGCTTAGGGCTTTGATCCAAAAGTTTCAGTTCTCCCCTGCAGCCCGGTTTTTAGAAGGTCGCTTTGCTCGTTCCCTCCGCCTTGCTTCCAGCACCCAGCACAGTGTCATACTCAGTGTTTATTGACCTGAAGAAAAGTTGGGCTGGGGCCTGGCCAGGAGATGAAATTCCCCTGGAACGTTTCCTAGGAGCAGAGATGCAAGCTTTAAAATAAAGCCGAGGTCTTGGTTCTCTCCATCTAATTTACTCCAGTTCGTTTTTTCCTGGGCGCTTGGTAGGTTTTATTAAAATTATCTTCACTGTACATCACCCTCTTTTGTTGGATGACTCTGAAAGCATGAAGGGTGTTGAGAAGGACTCTGCCGAGGCCTCTCACCGCTTGTGGTGTAATTGGTAAAGTTTAGTTTCTTAAGCCTCCCTTTACTCATCTGTTGAATGGGTTTATCCAGTCTACAGTTTCACTTTTCAACAACAGAATCCTTGAATTAAAAAATATATATTTAAAGAATTTTGCTATGGAAGGGAAGAAAGGTTGGGCTGAAGATGTACCAACTTATTATCTCTGTTCTTAATTGGTGATAACGGGGGTGGTGGGATTGGACATACTCCTTCAATGAACAAACTCACCTTTATTTCCCACCTAGTTAATGCCAGACACTGTGCTTAGGGATGTATGTGCATGCCCTCATGTAAAGCTCTCAACAACCTTGAGGACTCTAGATATTAGTAGTACAGATGAGGAAACTGAGGCACCAAGAAATTCAGTAATATGCTCACAGTCACAGAGACAATAAGTGGTCAAACCAAGATTTGAACCTAAACCTAGAGCTGCAAGGAAGGACCCTAGCCTCTTAGCAACAGATACTCTACTTCCCTGAATTTCTCTCTCTTCCAGTGATTAGATTCATTCTACAGAAAGTTAAATGCAATGAAAGAGTCTCTCTTTTTTTTTTTTGGTACGTGCCTAGCGGGAACCGAACCCGGGACTCTCTGGTCCGCAGGCCGATGCTGCAACCGCTGAGCCAAACTGGCCAGGGCAGAAAGAGTCTTAATAGACATTCTCACTGAATGCTGCATACGCAGGAGATATCCTAATAAGAATGGCCACTTCCTTGGAAAGTGCACAGGAAAGCTGAACATGAGCTTTTAGGTGCCTCGCGAGCAGTCAGTGCCAGTGGGGAAGAAGTTCACATGGGGGTAGAATTGCTGCTTGGACTGATTACATGCAAGTCAGACATTCACAGGTCATAGGAGGTTTTGTTCCCTTCAGAGTACATCAGCCCCAATTGCTGAAGTAGGACAAGCAGAATGAATTAGCCCCGGCTGCAGCCAAACTCTTTATATGTAAAAGAAAAAGGCAATTAAATATTCGGCCTGATTCTTGAGTTCTGAATTACCCCCGTCTGTCTTTCACTTTGAGCATCTGCTTCTTATTGCGCCGTGGCCCTGCCTGCCGTTTATCTCTCCCCTCAGTCTGTATCTACGTGTCATGTGACTCAGAAGCGAAGATTAGAGAAGAAAAATATCTCTGTATTCTAAGCCTGGCAACTTCTATTTTTATCCACAGCTGTTGGAACTGATAGCAAAGTCACAGCTCACATCCCTGAGTGGCATTGCCCAAAAGAACTTCATGAACATTTTGGAAAAAGTGGTACTGAAAGGTGAGCTCTCTCTCACTCTCGCACCCCTTTTTATAGGCACGGGGACGGACAGATGGATTTTCCAATAGAGTGGACATGTCATTAGATTTAAGAGAGTGTGAGTGGATGGAAGTGAATAACTCCAGATGCATCTCAGATCCCAGAAAAAGGTACAACTCATATCCATGGCAAAGAGTCAGAGCATCACCCTCTGCCCCTTCACTAAAATGATCTATCCTGCTATAAGTCCCTCAGGCTTCTCAGTGTCCACACAAGTTCCCACCTTGACTACCGAGCCTCTGGATTCCAAATTCCTAGAAAATTGAGCTGTGTACAGGGCAGAATAGATTCATAGACTCTTTGAGCTACAAGGAACCTTAGGTTTCTGGATCAACTGAGTCATTGTACATAGGGGGGAACTGGGGCCCATGAGAAAGAGTGATTGTCCGTAATCGCACAGAGAGTCACCCATACAGGATCAGAACCCAAGCCCCCCGCTCCTGTATGCTCCTCCCACTGACCACCTGAAAGGGACGGTACAGCCGGGCAAAAGCAACTGCCTTCAGGTCAGGTGAGCCACTGGTGCAGGTGGAACAATGAAAAAGAAAGAGTCTTTGTAGAACACCGGGGAGACGAGCACAAAGAGGGACCTAGATAATGGAAACTCTACCCAGGAACCTCGAGTGCAGAAGCTTGGCCAGGTAGAGAAGAAACACCCGCGAGAAAGAAAACCATGTCCCCAGAGGCAGTACCCCGGTAACACAGGCAGAATAGAGAAGAAGGCCCACTTATACAATGGAGAGTGTTCCAGCAGCCTAACTGTTATTTCCTTTTTTCCTTCCCCACCCAAGTCCTTGAAGACCAGCAGAACATTAGACTAATAAGGGAGCTACTCCAGACCCTCTACACGTCCCTGTGCACGTTGGTGCAAAGAGTTGGCAAGTGCGTGCTGGTGGGGAACATTAACATGTGGGTGTACCGCATGGAGGCGATTCTGCACTGGCAGCAGCAGCTGAACAACATCCAGATCACCAGGGTAAGCAGATCCGCCCGGCTCCTCCTGGCAGAAGGGCTGCAGTCGGCTCCTCCTCGGAGATGCCGGGCAGCCTCGCCAGGACCTTATCTCCACTCTGGTGATGGAAGAGCCTGGACCATTCTGTTCTGCGCCTTCTGAGTGCAGGAGGGGGACTTCCTGATAAAGGGAGGGTGGGAAGAACTTGGCCGAAGAGGATCAGAGTACGTGAAAGTGAAACGTGGTGGGAAAACCGGAAAGTCAGCTTTGGGGAAGATGTGGGTTCTACCTCTGAAATCTTGAGTGTGATTTGGAGATCTCTCCTCTGACCTTTTCGTCTGAAAGCCTCGCTTGCAGCATTTGGAGGCAGCCTTGGGCACAGTAGAGCTGCGATGGCCGTGGCTTGGGGATCTGGTCCCAGCCTTCTCGAATTCTGGTTCCAGTTCTCAATAGCTATGACAGAAGCAGCCTTTGATTGTAGACTATGAACATACATGTAAGAAAAGACATGAGCTTAACTACTGTCAGTGGTTTCTTTTAGGTTTTAACTTGGCTCCCAGCTCTTGTGCTCCTACCAGTGAGCAGGAGGACCAAGGCCCGCGGAGCTGCGGGATAGGCGCCGGGTCATCCTGAAGGCTCCCTAGCAGACAGGCGCACGTAGGCAGCTCACGTAGCACTTGGCTTACTTATCTCATCAGTGACCTCGGCTGTTTTAAGTGGTTCCAGCATCCAAGCTGATAGAGTTTGGGTCTGCCCCACCTCTCAAGAAAGTAACATGAAAAACTTCTTTGACCTCTTTTAAATCATTATTTTACTATATGAAGTTTTCAGAATGCAATGTCCCGGACATTACTGTTAACAACTTCTCTGTGCCTTAGTTTCTTAAACTCTGAAACAGAGTCCAAGTTATGTGACTTCCTTAGAGTCACACGTACACACACACGTACACACACTCGTGTGTGCATGTGCATACACACACAATACAGAGCACAAGCCCAAGAGCTCTCTCAATTACATGATTGTTGTATGAGAAATTGAGATTTTCTTATGAACACTTATCTGATTTGTTTTAATAATTTATTCCATTCCCATCTTTCAAGTGTAGACAGTTTGATGATGTGAATTTGAGACCCAAATTTCCAGCTTATCTCTCCCAGAGAACCCCTTACACTTTCTACCTAATCTCTGGCATTCTCTTTAGCCTGGGCTTTATACTTACTACTTTCTCTAAGCTCAGAAGAGAATTACCCAGCCAGTGATATAAATTAGCAAGTCCCACTTGTCCCAAAGGCATCTTCCCTCCAGCAGTTCTGAGACACCCATTTGGATGGTCACACTTGCCCAGAGCTGGCCTCTGTTCCCCGTCCACCTTGCAGGAGCCCCCCTTCGCTACATCCACCCACATACCTTGCACTTCCATGGGCTTACTTTCCCAGAGCCCCTTTTGCTAGATCCACACACGCTCTTGGGAGGAAGCCATTGTAGTTGCTCTTTCTTCATGGAAACAGAGAAGCCCAGTGACTTTCCCCAAGTAACTCAGCAGTTAGGAACAGAGCTGCGGCCAGAACCGTGGACTCTTTATTCCTAAAATGGCAAAGTTTTCGTAATGTCAGTGCTTTCCAAACTTCCTTCCAATCCAGCTTTCTTCCAATTATTTATTCAGTGATTCAGCTTTCTGCAAACCTTTTAAATCCAGAGAAGTCCCATATAGACCCAATCAAACACTGAGGTTCGTCAGTTCTGTCCGTGGTGCTCCAGCGAGGCCAAGCTGTTCTCTGCACACTCGAAGCTTGGGCCTCGCTCGGGGACTCACTCCCCTGCCTCCATCCACTGGCTTATCAGCTCCACAAAGAAAAGACGTGCCCGTTTGTTCCCTCTCCCTGGCACAGCGGAAGGCAGTCCGTACACTTTAGTTGAATGAGTGAATGACTGAAGGAAGTTTCCTCCCACCGCCTGCCTGAGGTACTAGCTCAGAGTTCAGAGGAATACAGTCGGAAAACATTTCCCTGTGTCAGGGATGATGATGACAGTTTACCAGCAGTAGGATTCGGGGCGAGTTATTCAGCCACTTCATTTCTCCATCTCCTCATTTGGAAAATAGGGCAACAATGTGTATCTCAGCCCTGGCTGGTTTGGCTCCGTGGTTAGAGCATCAGTCTGTGGATTGAAGGGCCATGGGTTCGATTCCTGGTCAAAGGCACGTACCTGGGTTGCAGGTTCAATACTGGCCCCTGTTGGGGTTGTGTGGGAGGCAACTGATTGATGTGTCTCTCTCACGTAGATGTTTGTTTCTCTCTCCCTCCCTCCCTCCCTCCCTTCCATTCTATCTAAACATCAATGGAAAAATGTTCTCGGGTGAGGATTAACAACAACAACCAAAAAGAACAATGTGTATCTCTTAGCCCTGGTGTGAGATTTAAGAAGTTAATACATGGAAAGCACTTGGAACTGTGCCTGCCATGCAGTAAAGGCTGAAAATGCATCAGCTGTTATTACGAAGGGCTCACTCTGCGGTGGACGCTCTTCTAAGTCCTTTATGTACAGGGTGGGGCAAAAGTAGGTTTACAGCTATGAGTACGCGAAGCATGGTATAGTCATGTATTATTTATTAATTATCGTATTATTTTCCATATGAACAACTGTAAACCTACTTTTGCCCCACCCTGTATATTAACCCATCAGGTGAATAACTGTAAGTAGGAGTCATTACAATAGCTAATATTTCCTGGGCGCTGTGCTAAGGACCTCCATGCATTATCTCATCTGCTTCTCCCAGTAACACAATGAGATACGCTTTTCCTCATTTTGTATATAACTACGTAGCTAGGAATAACCTGGCCAGGGTCTCACCGTTGGTAAATGTCATGTGGGGATTGAACTCAGACCTGTGCGCCGAGGCTGTGCTTTTATCCGATGCTCTGCTCCCTCTGCCCTCCTTCCCGACCCGCCTTGGCTCTGAGCTGCATGGTTTTGAGAGCAGGGACCCTCAGCGCCCTGAAGAGCTTTTCATACAAATGCCCAACTCTAGAGGAAAAACAGATCGACACACAGAGAGAGAAAAGGGACTTAATTACTTCAGTCTGGACTGTATTTAAAAATCTTACTTTTTAACAGTTTGGACCAAAGAAAAGTACGTTATTACACGAAAATGTTAACAGGTGACATTTACAGTAATTGCTTTCTAGTTGCCAAAGTTCTATCAGTATCTTGCTTTCCATCAAAATTTTATATCTACCTCTATGGAGCCAATTTTTTATTGGCAAAATAATTAATATAATAAAGGATGAAACTATGAACAGAACTGGTTGGGGGGGATTAAATAGAATCACAGTTGCCTGTGAGTGAGCAGGGTTTTGAAGCTCATGGGGGCAGGGTGAACATAAAGGATTTTAGTCAAATGCTTGATCGGAAGAGCAAGAGTAACTTATTTTTCTCTTAAATGTTTATATTCAAAAAGAAGAAGGCACACAAGCAGTTAACCATTTATCAGGAGTAAGGGCTCGGCATGGGGTCTGGGCAAGAATTCTGGAAAAGTTCAGGTTTGAAAATTTGAGAGTGAACTCTGCCAAGTGGACTTTAATAGGAGTTCATATAATAATTGGCCTGGGAGTTTTAACCAAAAAAGTAGAAGCTTTGAAGTGCTGGGAACAAAAAGAAAATCTCATGGCAGTTTTATTAGCTCATATGATCAGCAACAGATGATAAACGACAAATAGGCCTAAGGCCTTCTGCAGCCCGGCAAAGCCCTGCGTTTTGCAAACAATTGAAAGTTCAACCCAACAGCCTGAGCAATAAAAATTGCCAAGTCATAGACACTTCTGATGAGTTAGGAGGCTGAAACAGCTCCAAATCTGAGCCTGTTGGAGCTGCACGGGATCTTCAGCATCTTCTAAACCAATTCATTTGGGACATGGGGAGACTGAGACCCAGACTTCCCCAGAGTACCTGGGGTCCAGATCTGTTGCATGTCCATCCCGTGTTCCTCCCATGCCACTTCCCATTCTTCTCCATAGGCCATCTTTCCTGGCCCCCCTGCCTCTGCCCACCTTCCCTCTACACACCTGTCCTGCTTTGCAGGGGACACAGGATAGAATCGCGGAGACTGCATCCCCTGGGAATCCTGTGTGTTCGGACTTTGATGTGCCCCGTACAGAGTCTAGTTCCCTAGAAATCTGAGGAGGGAACTCAATACCCATTCCCAGGATATTTTCCCCTGAGCTAAGGAAGGGTTTCTTCATTCTGTACTCTTTCCTGTGACCCCCCCCCCCCCCAGGTGACAGAACACTGAGCTAAGAATAATAGTGCAAGCTCAGCTCACCCAGGAATTGAGAACCACAGTCTCAGGTGATTTGTGCTGACTTCTCATCCAGATGGCAGCATCCAGCTGATGTTGATAGCAGCATCCAGGCCTATGAGCAAATACGAAGGGCCTTCTGTGTGGAGATGGCTCCCAGAGCGCTCTGCACCTGCCTCCTTGATAGCGTTTAACAGATGGTTCTAGGACTAGCTGCTTATGCTTCTGGGTCTCTCACCTGCCTGATGAGCCCACTGCAACCCCTCCAGTGCCAGCCTGTAGCCGGCCATCAAAACACATTGCTTGTGCTGGGCTAGTCTGCAAAGAATACGAAGTTAGACCCTAACTTCAAGGATACGGGCTTGGGTGGGGTAACATGAGCTCATCAAATTTAAGCAATAAAGGGATATAGTTGACGAAGTTCATGATTAATTACCAGTGTATTATCCACAGAAAAACAGTTTTCAAAATGTTCCGTGTTATGTTGGGTGCTGGTGAGAAAACCTGCTCGGGTTTTCAGTGGTCACCAGGGGCAGTGAGACAGGAGGATGGGCCGGCAGGGGCGGTGCTCTGTCCAGGACAGTGAGCCCTTCCGGAAGGGTCAACATTGAGACTTTGTGAAGGAGAAAAGCTGTCTGGCACCATTTAGCTCTAGCTGGTCCAGGCTGTTCTTCGTGGTCTCAGCCATGGGTCTTGGGTCTGTGCTTAGGGCGGGGAGAATTTCTGCTTTTGATTTCTGGTCAATAAACCAGCTCAAAGAGGGAGGGCGAGGGGACAGCTGCATCCTTGGAGGGTGTCACCTGGTGACTTGCTGCTCTCCACCCCAAGACTCATGTAACCTTTCTCCTCCCAGCCTGCCTTCAAAGGCCTCACCTTCACCGACCTGCCTTTGTGCCTGCAACTGAACATCATGCAGAGGCTGAGCGACGGGCGAGACCTGGTCAGCCTGGGCCAGGTGGCCCCCAACCTGCACGTGCTCAGCGAGGACCGGCTGCTGTGGAAGAGGCTCTGCCTGTACCACTTCTCCGAGCGGCAGGTGGGTGGCATCAGCGGCTGCTCCTTCCTGCTCTCCCTCCTCTGTCGCCACCCCCAAGTTTCCTTGGCATCTTCTCAAGCTTGACGTGTGGGTGCCCACCCTCCAGGACTTCCTGGTTTGACTGGAAAACTACAGTCCAAGGAGTTTTTAAATAATGTGTGTGAGCCCTGGCCGGTTTGGCTCAGTGATTAGAGCATCGGCCAGCGGACCAAAGAGTCGCGGGTTCGATTCCGCTCAGGAGTATGTACCTCGGTGGTGGTTAGGTCCCCGGCCCTGGTCAGGGTCGTGCGGGAGGCAGCCAATCGATGTGTCTCACGTCGATGTTTCTCTCTCTGTCTCTCTCCCTCCCTCCCACTCTACCTGAAGATAAATGGAAAAATATCCTCAGGTGAGGATTTTTAAAAAAATAATGTTTGTGAGGTTTGGTTGTTTTTTAGGTGGTTTTGATAGAAACACACACACACACACATTCTTAACCTATCCACATTTTCAACTTTCTAAAAAAAAAAAAATTCACAAATTGACACCAGTCCTTCTTTTCGATAACAAAGTAACCTGTACTTTTATGCTATTTTATAGCTAAAGTACTTCTACAGATATTATTTCATTTCATTTTATGACCCTGGAAAGGGTAGACATCATGATGTCCGCTTTAAACAGATGAGGAGACAGAGGCCCAAACGGCGAAGCGACACTGACAGCAGTGGAGGGTTCTCTGGTTGGGGGGCTGGCCTTGAGTTTGAACTTGGGCCTCCTGACACCAGCTCCAGGCTCTTCCACCTCCTCGTGCAGCCTCAGCATTTTCCCCCCCAAGTTCTTCTTAGAAGTGTGAGTTCCCAAGTTCTGCTCATGAAGCCTGCAACATTTAGATTTAAATAGAACCACCGTGCCAAGCAGTTACTGCATCTCTCTGGAAGCAGTCGCTCAAGTCGGAGCAAAGAAACAATTGACATTGTTCATTGAGATCACCTAAACTTTAATTTTTATTTTAATCCTCACCCAACGATATTTTTCTGTTTATCTTTGGATAGAGTGGGAGGGAGAGAGGGAGGGAGGGAGAGAGAAACACCGACATGAGAGAGACACATCGACTGATTGCCTCCCGCATGACCCTGACCAGGGCTGGGGATGAACTGCAACTGAAGTACGTGCCCTTGGCCAGAATCGAACCTGAGACTCATTGGTCCACGGGCTGACACTCTACTGCTGAGCCAAACCAGCCAGGGCTAATTTTTTTTTAATTTGTTGATTTAGAGAGAGAGAGAAACATTGATTTATCATTCCACTTGTTTATGCACGCAATGGTTGCTTCTTTTTTTTTTTTTTTTTTTTATCCTCACCCGAGGACATTTTTCCATTTTTTGTTCAGGTAGAGCGGGAGGGAGAGAGAGGAACAGAGAGAGAGAGAGAAACATCGATGTGAAAGGGACACATCGAGTAGCTGCCACCCGCACGACCGACCAGGGCCGGGAACAAACTGCAACCGAGGTACGCGCCCTTAGCGGGAACCGAACCTGGGTCTCTCAGGACCGCAGGCCGACGCTCTAACCGCCGAGCCAAACCGGCCAGGGCAATGGTTGCTTCTTCTATGTGCCCTGACCAGAGATTGAACCCGCAACCTTAACATTTTGGGATGATGCTCTAATCAACTGAGCTACGTGGCCAGAGCCCACCTAAATTTTAAAGGACCATCCAGATGCAGTTTAGGAGAGGTCACTAGAAAGATGTCACCAACCACCTTTTCTCTTAAAGACTGGTTAAAAGCGACCATTTATCAAAGATACTTCTTTCTATCTTGGCTATTTCCCCCTACCGATTCCAACATAGAGGTAAAAAAGGAGGGAAGGGAGCGGGAGCAGAACTTTCAGAACCAGAAAACCACAAACCCTCTTCTTGCTGAACTCTCCTGCAGTGACTTTCATTTGCTATTTAGATCCGCAAGCGATTAATTCTGTCGGACAAAGGACAGCTGGATTGGAAGAAGATGTATTTTAAACTTGTGCGGTGTTACCCACGGAAAGAGCAGTATGGAGACACCCTACAGCTTTGCAAACACTGTCACATTCTTTCCTGGAAGGTATGTGTCTCAGAGGTGGCTGCCACCGGCCCCTAAGAGCCAACAGTGCCGGCCGACACAAGGCCAAACCCTTTCCTGAGCTTCACGCTTGCAGCCGCCATTCGAAGGTGCAGGTAAAACCAATTCTGTCCCAAGGGAGAGACACTTTCAGAGACCTTCATTTCCTTTACCCTCCCCCCTTAGGTTTACTTTTTGCTGCAACCCACCCACCCCCAGAATCCCCCATCTCTCTGCATGAGTGCGCACACTCGCACACAGCTCTTTAGTTTTCCAGAATGTGGGGCTTTCTTGGCAGGGGGATGTTGTTTTGGGGCTGGGGAGGGCCTGTGGTGCTACCAGCCCATGAGAGGCTTCTGAGAACTCAGACCTCACCTTGACGTTCCTTTCCAGGGCACTGACCACCCGTGCACGGCCAACAACCCGGAGAGCTGCTCCGTCTCCCTCTCCCCCCAGGACTTTATCAACTTGTTCAAGTTCTGAATCGCAGCACGTGCCAGCGCTTCAGAAGGGGTTCCCCGATTGGATGGTTGGGGATACAGAGTTTGGACACTTCATTTGTAAATAGTGTACATTGGAAACATTGGCTCAAAGCTTCTGCGATAGGTCACGGAGAGGACGCTGGAGGGGAGAGACGCAGTCGCTGGCTGGGGATCTAGGAGTGTGGACTTCCCGTTAGGATTGGCATGGAAAAACAGAAATACTGTAAATAAACTTTTTTCTCCCCCCTAACAATTTGCCAGCAAGACTGTGAGGGCAGGGGTTCTGTGTCGTCGGTGAAAACGGAATTCTCTTGGTGGTCACTGGAACTCCCGTGGAGTTCCCCAGAGATGTGGAAGAAGGCAAACGTCGAATACAAGACAGCACACGCTTTGTTTACAATGTGAAAATTTGTTTTAAAAAAGAAACAGAAAGAAGAAAACCTACAGATGAGAAGTCCCTGGGCTTTTGGCTTTGATCTTGGGTTAGCTTTGTAAAGGCAGCGAAGTAGCAGCCACTGTCAACCCGCACGGGCGCGCGAGGGGCCTCATCTTACGAAGATACCACACAATAGTCTACCTCGGAAAGCAGGCAGTGTCTGTTCTCCTCCTTCTCCATCCTAGGAAGAGGATTTGCAGCGGGAAAGGATCTGGGAGGCAGTCCTCACTGTGTTCCTTTGGAGGGGCATCTTCGGAGTTGCCTCTGTTCTAGAACAACCCCAAAACACGTAGGTCTTTTATCCTCTCGTGTCATGGCTCGTTCCGGGCAACCCAAGGCCGATCACAAACCGTCCCAGAGATGTCCTGCCACAGAAAAGATAGAATTCGTCACTCCATAGCTGTGAAGACTTTCCTATTCCTGTTTAACTTCTCGGTGTGTCTGCTTCCCGGGGTATCTTCATGGATAAGCGTAAGCGTATCTCTGTGGACGGGTCGGAGCCAGAGTGCTGATAGAGGCTGGTGAAGGAGGTCTGACATGTCAGCGAAATGTGCTACCGGCTGCCCTTCCTCTTGGCGGGTGATGAGCTGAGTTTTCTTTTCTTTATGCCCCACATCTAAAGGTGGTCAGTCTGAGCTAGGGCTTCTTACGAGGGTGATAACATAAAGCCTGGAGTTCCAGCCAGACAGGGAACAGAAGTGCTTAGAGTTCATCCTAAACATGCTTTGTACCCCAGGGGATCTGCTAGGCCACTACCAGCGGGTCACTGTGTGGGAGAAAGGAAATCTCAGGATGTAATGGGTTTACTGTCAAATATTCCTGGGAGGGAATGGGGGGTGTTTTTGTTTTTTACTTTTTATAGAACTTTGCTTTTCTACAACAATGTACATATTTTTGCCATTGTGTTTGCTTTGCCTTTTTTTTGGTAAATAAAGTTGCCACCCTGCATGTGCTTGGAAAATAAGTGAAGCAAAATAGGAACTAGGTTCACATTCACGCTGAGGATCAGTGCGTCCTTGTGGGTTGAGGTTGGGGTGACCTGAAGAGGGGAGGACGGTTAGACGTGTACAGAAACAAGCCCGGGGACCAGCTAATGATGCAGGCCCCTTCGCATCCTTCTCTCGACACGCAACTCACGCAATTGGAAAGAGAAGCCGACTGTTCATCAATGCTCCTCATTTTGCAAAGTTTGTGCCTACACCAGGGTTTCTCAGTAATTTTTCATGATCACCCTCCAAGAAGAAAACACTAAATTGAATTTAAATTCTCCCTAATGAGAAAAATTAAATAGCAAACAATAAAATCTTGCTGGGTAAGACTGGGCGTTGGAGTGCCACAGATCATTGCAATACTGGGAGGTGTCTTTTGCTCTCCCGTCCCCACCAAATCAAGGTCCCGTTGAGAAGGCAGGGCCTACACTGTGGAATTAAAAGGCTTCCGTGATTTAGACAGCTTTTCTCAAATGTCTCGGCTTTCTTTAAGATGTCGGGTGGAGCTCTGGAGCCTTGGACTGTCTATAATTTTAGGGTGAGGTGTTCATGGCCTTCCACATCTTCCCACCGATTCGTGACCTCTGCCCCTTCGTGTTGATCAAGGTGGGGGAGCTCCTGGGCACCTTCAGGTTGGCAGTCCCAGAAATGCCACCTGATCTGAACTATCGGCACAAAGCTGGCGAGCCAGCCTCGGGTGGGCTGTCTGAAATGTTTGTGACTGGTCCTCGTGCCCCAGGCAGCAAGGTGCACGTGTGCAGAGTGACCCCTACAAGCGACAGGGTTACGGTTTTCTGAGCTGTTCGCCTGTGGCGCCTCTGGGCTCTCCCATCCCCTCTGGCGTCACTGGAGGGGGTGTGCAGCAGAGTCCAGGGAAATTTTTAAGGAAAACGAAACCCACACACGTGGTTCTCTTTCCTTGGAAGAGGAGAATAAGAAGGAAATGGCAGGTGGAGAGGGAGAGGGAGAGGAATGGGAACGGCATCTCTCTGAAGCGGGCGCAGTGAGGGGATGAGCACAGCGTTCCGAGCACTGTGGGCGCCACGTGGTGGGGTGACACGTGACCGGAGCCTCACAGAGAAGAAAAGACAGGTCAAAAGAAAATTCGTGTTCCCTGGGCATTAATCATCTAGAACATGTCTAGACAAACCCTCCCGGGACAACATGCCCATAGAGAACAAAAACACAGAATCCCTGTCTCAGAACTGCTGGTCTAAAACCCAGAAGGGACATGACCGTGGAAATTGCTGGAAGAGACAGAACACTCTACTCCCTTTGCTGTACTCAGCGACCCCCACCCCAACCCTATGGCGTAGCATTTGAAACTGATGAATTCACTTGAACTACTACAAAATGCAAGAGTTTTGTCCAGGGTAGTGTGAGCAAATCCACAGGGGTGTTATCCTTTATTCCAACTCAACGGTGTATGAGCAATGAGCCTAGAGTTTCTTGACAATGAAGTACAACAACATTTGAGGGGAGGAGAACACGCGGAGCTTAGGAGTGTTCTCAGTATAGCATGATCTGGAAAAAAGTCTAATGACGTCTTAAACTAGAGTGTGTTATTACTCAGTGCTGTTACTTTGAGCAGATGGATCAGTCGCGTGGGAGGGCGAGTGACAGAAACTTCAAGGTGTCAGTTATGCGATGACATTTGTTTAGTGATGATCAATTTTATCTTGGAGTGGCTCCGAAAATATTTTAGATGAGCTGGGTCTATGCTGCAAAACTACACAAGAGCAGCCTTTACTTGGATGGTGAAGTAAAACAAGGGTGTATTGCATTATTGCCACAGTTGTCATTTTTATGGACTCAAAACCTTTTTCATTAGCAGAGGATCCTTGCTCCTGTCACTTTGGGTGCAGAGAAAGAGTCTGGAGTTTCATTTGTCTGAGCAAGTGGTATGATGTATAGGAAGGTCAATCATTTCAAGACATGTTTAACGGTGTATCATCCTTAGCGCTCAATACAATGTTTATCATAAAATATGCACCTGAGTTTATATTTTTCTACCAGGCTGTAGGGCAGTAATGTCTTGCTATGCAAACACTCTGTTTTATGCGTGAATTTTTTTAACTGTAATTTTATGTGTGATTTTTTCTAACTATATCATCAGTTTCCATGTTGACATCTGTTGTTTTGTGTGTGTGTGTTTTTAATCTGTTTCCAACTCTCTGAGTCTGTGAACCATCCCTTCTGACTGGATGCTGGCCTAAAATCCTATTAGTGTTTAAACAGACCTCAGAAACACCCTGAACCTCTAGGCAGATGCAGGCATGTGACTCTTTGATATATCTTTGGGCCCTTGATGTCTTCAACAAACAAGATCGTAATTCCTTTAAACTCGTTTTCTGTAGATGCTTTCTTCTCTGTTTTGTTAAGGAAAGTAAACCCCCCATGGTTTTCCAAGTGAAGGAAATTCTTACCCAAGACTTTAGTGCTGGAAGGGAAGTTAGAGATGTTGGAGTCTGGTACTTCCTTTGCCTTTTAAGATAAGGTAGTTAGGTTCAGAATATTCAGGGGACATGTCTCTGCCCTCTTGGTACTCAGTGGTGGACCTGAACATAAACCTGGGACTTTCTGAGGCCTTGACTCTGTGCCCCCAGCCCCAACACCTGGAGACACATGACACCAACCTAATTCTTCTCAAGACCTTCCCTGTGGAAAGCGAGCGTGAGGGTCCAGTGTTGGGCGTCCAGCCATTAACTTTTCCAAACGTTTCAAGTGCCTGAATCTTCCTGGAGAAATTCAGGAGCCACTTAATATTTTTACAGACCTCTGACTGTTGTGAGTACAGCATTCTAGTGAGCGCAACCTGCTGGCCATAAAGTAAGCAGCATGTTTTGACAAATTCATTTTTTCCATGGGTATGTACGTTTAAATTACAAAGGTGGCCCTTAGGACAGATAATGGCGAAGTAGCTTGCTTTCTAGAAACTGAGGTTCTGAAGATTACCAAGAGACATTTCCTCTCCCCTTACTAAGAGGTACATTTAATCCATCCCCTCCATGTCCCTGTCCTCGAGTACCAGCGGTGGATCCATCCTGTGAGCTTCTCTCCCACGGCAGTTTGCTCTCTGCTAAACCTCATCTCTACTAAGCACGAGGGGATTCTTCCATGAGGCAGCAAGGAGCAAGGAACCACAATATTCAAGACTCTGTCTATGGGACATTTTCAAAGCATCCTTGAGCTCACTCAGCAAACAAAACGTCCTGAAAAATCAACCTTAGGCCCTGCTCCATTTGGCCAAAAATGGATGGCTGCTCCAAAACTCTGAACTTCTTGAAACTCCATCTGCTACATTACTTCTCGAGTTTGAACGTGACTTGTTCTGTCTTTGAGGATAGAAGTGTTTGTTTAATTAACGACACACAAGTCTGTTCGACAGAAGGCTCCAAGATGTGCTCTATCCTTGGCACTCCTGGTGCCATCTTTATTCCACCAAGTGCCAATCACCCTGGCTACAGGGAGTAATTCAAGTCCATGTCCTGAGCTTAGAGTCTTTACCTTTTTAATGAAAAACAGTAGAGAGGGTTGAACATTGTAACTAAAAGTGTAAGATCAGACCAATTACATGCAAACGTGTTTATTTAATATTGTATGAGCTGAGTCCATCTGTGGGAGTTATTTGCACACTTATCTTGCATGATGAACTGACTTTTTTATAGTTGTTTGTACCAGACGGTGGCATATTTTTGTAAAAATTTTTGACACTGAATTGCAATAAATGTTTTTCCAACAACACACACTGGTGCAATTTTTGGTGTGTATCAATTCAAGTTGGCTTTTTATCATATTGAGTATGTTTATCTTTTGCCTTGCTAAGCTTATACGCTCTCTCCCAGAAACTTCTCATTGTAAGATTTCTAGGAATACAGAGAAAAGAAGCTTGCTGCTGAGTACTAACCTGTGTCCATAAATCAGCATTGTGCTTAAATGGACCGTTTCCACTTACTGTTTGTATAGTACAAAGATGAGGGAATAATGGACTTTGAAGTCAATATCAATTTACTTATCACAGGTGTTTAATGAATAACTACTATGTGCTAGACTCTGTGCAAGGCACTAGGACTAGGAGGATGAACAAGGCTGACATGGTCCCTGCCTTAATGGAATTTAGTTCCACTGAGAAAGAAAAAAAAAACAAGTAGGAGAACATTTTTATTTGTAATAAGTGCTATGAAGGAAACAAACAAGGGGCTGAGACGCAGAGTGACAAGGGGACCTGCCAAGGAGAGGCTGAGCAGGGGTCTCCCCGGGGACGTGATGAAGCTGAGACCTGAAAGGCGAGGCCCCGGAAGGATGAGGGCTGGAGCACTCCAGGAAGAGGACATGTCCCGCCAGACAAAGTCACATTTACTTAACCCCCGCTCAGTATCCTCAACTCCAAAATGGTGATCATTTACATCTTACGGTTGTGAGGGTCAAATGAACTAATATGTGTAAAATGCTTGGAGCCGGGTGCATAACATGAATTCAATTTACATCAGTAATTATGATTCCCTGAGCAACAGGAGTCTGAAAATCGGGTTAAGAATCGCACTGAGTTCCCAGTTGGGTGTGATTTGCTCAGGTGACTTACTTGTGGGTGACCGTCTTACCCAATACATTCACTCTGGAATAGATTCCTGACCCTGCCACTAAGTCTCCATCAGAAAATGACATAAAATGTGCATGAGAGATCTTTTTTTTTTAATTTCCACTAGAATCACAAAATTTCATCATTTCCTAAACATCCCACGCAGTCTTTGCTCGGGCTGTTCTATCTACCCAGAATGCCGCTTCCCTGCCCCTCTGCCTGTAAGCATCTATTGCTCCGGGGCCTCCTCACTGCAGCCTCCTCCAACGGAGTGAATCTCGCCTCCCATAACATTCTAGTCTTATCTGTGACTCTGTCACAGTACCTAGCACAGTGCCAGGGCTGAATGAATTGAAAAACCCACACATCATATATTCATTAAATGCTTTTAAAGTCTCAGTTATGACCACATACTTACCTTTGGTTAAAATAAGAATCAGCAAGAGTTATGTGCATAGCTTCTTGATTAAAAACTAATGGTAGTTGATAAAGTAACAAATGTGGAGACCCAGTTTTCATTAAAGTTTCTTTTAAGTTCAACCAAATCTTTACAAGCCTAGTAAATTTTCATACAAAATAAGAAGGCTTTCTTTTAACTGTTTGATAAATTCAAATTGAACAGACTGAATTTCCTTTAAAAAATAAGTCCTTTAACAAACATCATAAAAAATTTTAAAGATTTGAAAACTGCAATTATAAATCTAATGAATCTGCTTTTCAAAATAAGCACCTCAAATACCTGTTCAGGGAAGCTTCAACCCTGATAAGCAAAATAGTCCCAAGTAAAACTCATAACATAAATTTAATAAGTTAAGCCTAATGATATCTCAAATTCTCGAAAAAACCTTAGCATGGTAAAATGATTATACCTTTCCACTAATGATGCTATCTTACACTGATTACTCATTTTAAATGGAAATCACAGCACTGCCGCGGTAGGCAGAGTGCTGGCTACTGAAGCTGTCCACATCCTCATCCCCAGCCTCTGCGTGCTGTGTTACACGGGAAAGGGGAAAGGCAGGTGTGATTCAGTGAAGCCCTTGGAGATGAGGAGATTATCCTGGACTATCTGGGAGGGCCCAATATAATCACAAGGGTCCTTAGAAGTGGAAGAAGGAGGCGGAAGGGTTTAAGTGATGCGATGTGAAAAGGACTCATCCTGCCCTTGCTCCCTTTGATGATGGAGAAAGGGGACCATGGACCATGTGAGCGACATCTAGAATCTGGAAAATGCAAAGGCCAGGAAATGATCTTCCCCTAGGGCAAGCAGAGAGGAATGCAGCCCTGCCAACACCTTGACCTCAGCCCAGTGGGACCCATGTCAGACTTCTGAACTTCTTGTGAGTTTGTGTTCTGTTAAGCTACTAAATTTCTGGTAATTTGTTATAACAGTAAGAGGCAACTAAGATAGTTAATCTGACAGATTCTCTTGGGTGCCCAGCAGCCCATCCCTACAAAGCTTTTCTCTGTTTAAATTTCCCTTCAGATAAATTCCCACTGACCCCTAGGTTGCATGCCCCCCCCCACCCCAAGCTGAGTGAGGGTCTGTCTGCAAATTAAAGACGCAAGTGTCTTTACAACCTAATTCAGCAGCAAGAGTTTTTTGACTGCCAGATCTGCAAACCTGCAAAAGCTAGGCAGGGAGCTCCACCAGCCAGTGGTAGGTGTCAAGTCGTCTGCTTCCCAGTTTACATGAGGCCAACGCCAATCACATTTATGCCCAGAAATATCACGGAGAACCAGCATTTCAAATTCTTTCCGACAAGCAATGCTTATGAAGCAGCAATCACCTGGACACTGGAAGAGCCACTCAGAAGTGTGAGCTGAGCTCTGGCCCTCGGGGAACTTACCAACCTGGCGGGGGACGGAGGGTACGAGAGAATGTACTGTCACCCCCAACACAAGATCCAAAGTTTCAAGGGCCCTAGTGAGATACAAAGTCCCAGAGGAACTAAGAGAGGAAGAACTGAGTTCTTGCTTCTAATAAGGTGAATAACATTGATAAAACACAAATCCAAAACACACTCTTCCTGAACCAGTGTGAACAGGGCTCCTTCTTTGGGATCCAGGAGCTAAAGCACCAGAGATCAAGACTGACCATCCAAGCCCATTTGATGGTATCAAGAGCATTCTTTAAACACTCAGAAGTTTGAATGGATTTCTCTTTTGGAGGGAACTGAAACTCTCTGTATCCCCTGGGGTCCCAATGCCTGAGTCCACCAGTATTCTAGCAAACTAAATGAAACCCAGTCCCTTCAAGGAGTCCTGTCGCGGTTATTTCATGTATCAACTTGTTTAGGCCATGATGCCCATTCATTTGGTACAACACCAATCTAGAGGTTGCTGTGAAGGTATGTTTTAGATGTGATAAACATTTAAATCAAGAGACCGCACCCTGGCTGGTTTGGCTCAGCCCTCGGACCAATGAGTAGCGGGTTTGATTCCAGTGAAGGGCATCTCGGTTGCAGTTCGTCCCCAGCCCTGGTTGGGTTGTGCAGAAAGCAACCAGTCAATATGTCTCTCTCACATCGATGTTTCTCTCTCTCTGCCTCCCTCCCTGCCACTCTATCTGATGAGAAATAGAAAAATATCCTCAGGTGAGGAATGAAAAAAAAAAGAGAGAGAGACCTTGAGTAAAGCAGATTACTTTCCATATGTTGGTGGGCCTCATCCAATCAGTTGAAAGCCCTGTAGAGGAAAAGATGGACGTCCTCCCAAGAGAAATGAATGCTGCCTCCAGAATGCCTATGGACTCAAGACTGCAACATCTGCTCTTCCCTGGGCTCCAGCCTGCCAGCCCGCCTGCACATTTCAGACCTGCTGGCCCAGCAAATGCATGAGCCAATTTCTTAAAATAAATACATAGATTTTAAGGAATGAAATCAAGAGAGGGAGAAAGGGGGTACTATATATCTGTAGATATATAAGTACATGGTAGCTAGACAGATGACAGATAGGGACACACGTGCTGTTGGTTCTGTTTCTCCAGGGAACCCTGACTAGTACGAGCTCCTAGAAAGAGAAAGAGGGCGAGGAAAGACTAGAGGAAGGCTACAGAGGGCAGGAGGAAGAAAAACCAGAGGGAGAGCGGAATCTAGTGGCTGCGGGAGGCAGCCAGCCAACTGCCACATCCTGGGAAATCATATTTGGCAGATGCCAAAGAGTAAGTACATCCAGTCCTCTTACCCACATACAGTGTTTGAGTGGCTCCCCTTCTTCGTCCTTTTCAAACTTATATTCTGTTGTTTTAATTATATTTAACTCTTCAATTTTTCTTAATTTTAAAATCATGCTAAGGAGCCCTATTTCCCTCAAAGGGGCCACATAGCACAGCGATTAAGAGCAAAGAATCTGAAGCCGGCCTGTGTGGGTTTAAACGCCACTCCACCGCTTCCTAGCTGTATGGGACACTGCCAACGCCTTAGTCCCCTTATCTGTAAAAGGGGGTGTTGACAGTACCTGCATCACAGAGTTGCTGTGGGGATAACTGAGTTGACGCATTTCATGTGATTAATGCATTTTGTGTGGTTAGAGCAGTGGTTAACACACAGTAAGCTTTACATAAACATTTCTTATTATGGATCACAAGTCCACTTTCCATTTTGTTTTTGCACAATGTGTTCTAGGCAGAAAAACCATGTAGACTTCACTGTCTAGAAAGAGAAGCATAATGAGTAAGTCAATGAACCCAATATATGTATATTTTTCTACGCAGTATAGGCAGGTACTGTTATCATTAGCTAATATTTCAAAGCATAATGAACACTTAGAGTCGTCATTAGTAGTGATGGATATAAATCCATATTTCAAATAGTTGTGATCATTTTGAACTTGCTGGCCAAATTTTGGTCAGATCTCATTAGCTTACCATTGTTTTTACCTTACACCGCAGCTAATGAAGAGATGAGCTACAGATCGGATCTGAGAGACACCTTATAAAATAAACCAGGCTGAGGCTCAGATACTCACATGAGACCACTAATACCCAATAGGAGCTGCAAACCTGCAGAATTTGACCTGAAGGTCATGAAGAAGCCATTCCCATGGAATTCCCAGGAAGAGCCATGTAAGATGGCTGGGAACCAACACTGGAAAAAAAATATTTTCATGTTTATACCCCAAACTTCCCAGTACGCTAGTTCCAGTTTACTCAGTACAATTTACC